ACACTGGTAAAAGGAAAGAAGCCAAAAGCGATTTTGAGAAAGATTTATTCAAATTAATGAATAACGCGGTGTACGGAAAAACCATGGAAGACAAGCGAAACCATATGGATTTTGAATTAGTTGATAATGAGGTAAGATATGAAAAATGTGTGAATAACCCAACATTCAAAAATAGATTTATTATTAATGAAAATCTCGTCGGAGTTGAGAAAACTAAAGCAAAACTGAAACTGGATAAACCGATTTTCTTAGGAATGAGCATTTTAGATTTAAGCAAATTACATATGTATCAGTTTTACTATGATGTATTGAAAAAGAAGTATAATGAAAACATCAAATTGATATATACTGATACTGACAGTTATGTAATTCAAACAATGACTGATGATGTCTATAAGGATTTCAATGATATAAAGCAACACATGGATTTTAGCGACTATCCACCTGAACATCCGTGCTTTGACAAAACTAATAAGAAGGTCTTAGGAATGTTTAAGGACGAAGTGAATGGAAAAATCATTACTAAATTCATTGGATTAAAACCTAAATCATATGCCTTCACAATTCACGGTGAGGATGATGAACATAAGAAATCAAAAGGTGTAGTGAAACACAAAGTTAAAAAAGAACTGTCGTATCAGAACTACCACGAAGCATTATTTCAAAACAAAAAGCATGAAATCACATATAACTTCATCAGAAGTAAAACGCATCAAATATATTCAATGTCTCAAGTAAAGCAATCTCTCAGTAATTATGAAAATAAAAGGTTTTATAGTGATGCTTTCACTTCATTACCATATGGGCATTATTCCATAAAATAATTATCTAAATAGTTCTAATAATATGAAATTATTAGAATTATTTTCAGGGATAGGCTCGGTTGGTCGGGTTTGGGATTGGGTTTGAAACTGGAAATGTGGGTTTGGGGATGAGGTTGAAACTGAAAACATTAAAGTTTATGTATTTGTTGGTTTTGGGGGAGTTGAAAATGGGGGATTATGCCCTTATTTTGGTGGTTTGGGATTGTTGGGATTTAAGGGTTTGCGAAGAGCTCCCTTGAAATTGGGGTTGGTCTAAAACATTGAAACAAAAAAATCGGCGAGAGTTTAACCTTACACAACGGTTTAGGGTTGTAAGACAAAACGCCCGATACCTTGTAGTCGCCGAGGGAGGTGCCTTCTGACAAACAGGACTCACACGTGGGGGTTGGGGTTGTTGTTGTTGAGGTGGTGGTGCTACGGGTTGTTTTGGTTGAAGGCGTGTGAGGCATCCACAGCATCATAAAAATCCAGCATCATCAGCATCATCCAGCATCATCAGCATTGAAACAAAAGAAGGGTCGGTTGTTGCCTGATGGCTGATGCCATTTAAAAAACAAAACAAAAACTATCCATTCCATAATCAACCCTCCCTTTTCAGCAAGGAGTGGTGGGTATGCTTATCTCTCCTTGACCCATTCGCTCCCCACTCACTCCTTGCTCGGACAGGATGGGTGCACCCAGACCGAATTACGATTACGGAATGGATAGTAAAAAAGCAAATATCCGCCAATCCCCTAATCAAATGCACGACACTTTTAGTGTCGCACATCCGATTGACACTGTTGTTCTCATTTTTTCTAGATACACGGTGGTTCATTCCCAATTTCCCGCAGGAAAGAGAGAATGTTCCTCCTAAACAGAAAGGGGTCGTAAAACTGTTTTCCCAAATTGAACGATGACCTTTCCAAAGGTCTCCACACTCCTCCGGCAAGGGAAGCCAACGCTTTTTGAAGCAACGGTGCATCTGTGCGTTTGGTATGTGAGCCACCATTCCTCGTCCCGAAAGCAAGGGGACATGTGCAAACGTCCCCAGAGACAGGGGACAAATGACAAAATGACCCCAAGGGCAGGGGACAAATGACAAAATGTCCCCAAATAAAGGGGACAACTGACTACTGAATCGTGCAATTGGTGGATGCTTCCTGCACCTCTTGTGAAACTCGGTTTCTTCGGCTTTGCAATTCAAACTCAACGGCAACGAACATAGGAGACAAGTCCAAACTCATGATGCCCATGTTTTCGTTATACTTGGTAAAGTCCATCAAGAAGCTCTGCATTATGGTGTTCAAGGCATTGTCGTGAGCCCTCTGCACTTTGTCCTTGCTCAGGTCAAACATGGACAAGCTCGGAAACATCAAGGGCAAAGAACGAAGAAGTTTCTCCTCTGCTGTCCAGTTCTTACCTTTGTCGCTCCTCCTCGTGCCTAGGATGCCTTTGAGCGACTCCATGTCGGAGGTGGCAACCTGCTTCAAGCACAAGCCCAGGAAGGCATCGGAGGCACGCGACTTGACCATGAGAAACTCCGACAGTTTGCCCTCCTGCTCGGCGAGAAAGGTTTTGATGGACTGGGGCACCATGGCTTCGTTGGCTTCTGTGGCTTCCTCAGGACTTTCACCAAGACACATCTTCTCTACCTTCTTCTTCAACTTGGACAATGCCTCAGGACGTTTCAAGTATCCCTTCATGACGCCACCTCCACGAAGTCCGCTCAGGGACACCTTCATGTCAATGTCCAGAACGTGGTTGGGCACCGCCTTGTCTGTCTCATACTCCTCGTTGATGAAGTGGACTGTGAAGACGCTGAGATTAACGTGCTTCTTCTCCTCCATATAGCGACTGACCAACCATTTCATCTGACCCGTGTGGATGCCCTCGCCCTCCATCACAAGCGTCAGAACCTCATGCCTACCAATCTCCACCTCAACGATTAGATTGATTGGTCGCTCCAAACCGTAGTGGTCTCGGGTCTGGAACGTGAACTGCAGGTCAACGCCAACTATTGTGGTCGCCGTGAGACCCTCCTTTTCACAGAAAAGAAGGATGGCACCCATCGTCATGTCGTCGTCGAAGCCCTCGAAGACACCACCTTCTGGATGAAGAAGTTCTACTTCAAACTTGAACCAGCTTGTGCCTGTACGTGCCTCCATCAAGACCTTCAGCGTCAGCATGTCCTCAAACTTGCCCTTCAACTGATAGACCTCGTCATCAACCATCACGATGAAAGGTCTGTCATCATCACCTCCATCGCTGTCTCCTTCATCATCGCCACCGTCATCACCGGGTTCGTCTCCACGGTCATCTCCATGACGAAGCGACTCAGACGGTTCTCCCTGCTGTTGCCTCTCCATCTTGAGCTCCGCAGTCGCGATGAAGTCCTTGAGTTGCTTGTTCTCATTCGTCAGGCTTTCAATCTGAGCCCTCCATCGGTGAGTCCAATGAGGAGCTTTCTCCTTCTTGGTCTTGGACGTTGCGAGGCGAGAGAGAGCCATTGCAAGGAGATGCGTCAAGCAACCTAATCGCTACTACCTACTCAAATCAAAGCCTCTCGGAAACAACTCATCGGTCAAATCAGGTCAAGCTCAGGCACAACTGCTGACAACAGGTTCAACGTGTGTCTCATTTTCAGCGTCTGGCATGGATGGATGCTCTGTTCAGGTCGGGTATCCAAAGCGAAGCAATCCAAGGCAAACGACCATGTACATATTTCTGATGACATGTGAATGCTTCGCCTTTGTTCCCTCCAGAGATTAGGCACAGGGTCAAGGACTTTCGTTGAAACAACTGTGAGTTGCATATGTATAAGCACATGACACGAAAGAACACTTTACCTTGACACCTGAGAGATGCTTCATGAAGGAACTAACTCAGTCCTCGTCATCATCAGTATCGTCATCGTTGTCCTGGTCCTCGTCTGTGTCCTCGGCCTCGTCCTGCTCGTTCGGCATCTGGATGGGATGGGGGAAGTTACCCTCATTGAACTGACTCATGTACATGACGCCAACGAACGGGTTCTGCAACAGGTGCTCGGCGTTGTACAAGAAGGTCCTGGCGTGTTTTGTCAAGTGCATCTGGCGAATATCCACCATGGCGAGGTCCCTCACGGTCTTGGTCTTTGTCTTTGTCTTTGCACCATCCAAGGACACCTCCTGGTAGAAGCCCAACTTCTGGCACTTCTTCAAAATCACCCTCCTCAGCTTGCCGTAGGTCTTGCCCTTATCAACACGGACGGAGTGGATACTCCCATCTGGGGCAACGAAGCGAACCACCACCATGCCAGAGCGTTTGGCCCTGTTCATCTCTTCCTTGGCCTCCTTGTCCGCCTGCTTCTGTGCAACAGTTGCCCTCTTTTTTGCTTCGACATCACGCTTCTTCTTCTCATTGAGAAGGGCATCGTTCATCGCCTTGTGGCTGAGCATCAACTTCTCCATACTGGAAGTCAAATCCGCAAGGGTGTCATCGGATGACCCCGCGACCTGCTCCTGCCAGTTTCCCGACAGCAACAACTGAAGACCAACATCCACCTCTTCCTCTGACTCGGGCGTTTGCTCTTGCGCAGGTACATGCATCTGTTCATCCACTTCATCGTGGGGTGGCTCACGGTAACCACCAGTTGATGCCTTTGCCTTCGGGTTGGACTTCGGCGCCATCTTATGACAAGGAGGACGGAAGCGTGAGGAATGGACACTACCAGAAACAACAGCCAAATGCTTCAAACACTGTTTTGATATCTGACAGTCGTCAATGTGCTGTCAACCTCACGACATGAATGATACATGAGAAGAATGCGCAACTGAAAAAAACCTTGAAATCGACCAACGCCCCAGAACTTGATAACTACTAAAAGGGCTACCTCTTTCAAATGAAAAAAATGTTTGCCCCTAGCCCAACAATGAACAAGGCGACAATTTACCCAAATGATTACCTTAACGAAAACGATAAATAAGCTCCCCAAAAACCCTCTATTAAAAACGAATAAGGGGAAACACAGATTTGAGATGAACATAAAAACCATAACAGGCAACCATCAACAGGCCACCCCCCAGGCCCCCTACTTTTACCATTTTTTGGGGGGGGGAACCCCGCTCCACCTGGTACCCGCAAACAATATGTGGTTTAGATTGGGGGGTTTGGATTGGGGAACTCAGAGAACGAGGGCAAGCCTGGCAATTCCCCCAGGCGCTGGACATCCAGAATCTGAATCTTCAAGAAGAGCAACTTGGCGGGGGATGACACCCATGCCCGGGAGAGGCAGCCCTTTGTGGTTTTGAAGGGAAACCAAAAGGACAACCCACCCAGTTTGCGGGTCCCCGAAAAGAAGACAATGCCATTTTGTGGGGGTCCCAGGCCATGTGGCGCATTTCCATTGCCAGTTCGGTTTCTTGTTCTGGGAGATTGGTCAGAAAGTTGAAGGCTTCTTTCCCCCGTCCTTCCGGGGGGAAAAAAGCGGAAAAAAGGAAAAAAGAAAAGAAAACAACGGATCCCCAACTTTACCTATGCGTGCCATGGTCGAAAGACCTGCTAACTTGGTGTCATGCATGATCATGGGATGTTAGACAACCGCGATGGGATTTTTGGTATTGGGCAGCATGGTGATCAGAAGGGACCGCGGCGACTTGTGTGCCATGGCCTTTGGCCCTGGCCCTCCAGCCCTCCACGCCGCGCCGGGCGCCGCGCGCCCGGGCGCCGCGCGCCGCGCGCCGCGCGCCGCGCGCCGCGGGCTCAGGAAGCGGGACTTGGAGATGCGGGTTTCGGCGGCGCAGTTCGCCTTGAAGCACTGGCTACAAAGAGACAAGGCGGGACCCATGAAGGCCATGGGAAGACACCCGGCGTGTTTTTGTTTGGCGCGAAGGGAAGGTTTTCTGTTTGGTCATGTCCCAGGGAAACTTTAAAGGTGAAGTTGGAAGCGGTTCACTGTGTTGGCAGCGACGTGCCTGCAGGCTGCACAGCCAACTGTGGGCTGCGCCTTTTGTCAGCACTGCCAACTGCGCTCCTGAGCAAACTGCTCGGATCATGTTCATAGTGGCTGCAGTTAGCCCAGCATGTAGTCCCCTGCAAGTTCACGTTGGAACCCACACAGTTTTTGAAAGGGTACCCCGCAAGGGATCTTCCTATGAAGTTGATGGCTTCTGGGGTTCTATCGCAATCTGCAGGGGAGTAATTCAGCACATAGGGGTCCGCCGTTTGCAGTGGAAGCACTTGCAAAGCTGAAGCCAAAGCTGCTTCATGGGGTGCTAGCGAGCGCGCAAAGGGTGAAGCCAGGGCTTGCTTGATGCCGTGCACGTGCTTGCACTGAGAGGGTTCCGTTGATTCCCCGGCAGGGTTTCCTCCATTTCCGAACAAATGGAACCACGCGCTGCAACATGCCATGACATGCCGGCTGCGCTCCAGTCAGTTGTACAAGTAGGACATGCCCATCCACCGAGAAGCTAGTCCGAGCACGAGCAAGATCAGATGTTTTTGGGAGTTCCAGCAGCCTTTCGATCTGCAATACTTTTGCAGACAGTTCGCCAGCTTTTAGATGCAGCGGGAGTCTGGTAACATATCAGAAGACTGATTGTCCAACTGTCTCACTTTGCATGCAGGCGGGATACTGTGATCGCTGGATTGCTGCCCGTGGTATTGCAGATGAATGAGTAGCCATGAAAAACCCGGGAGGGGGGGGGGGTGAGGGGGGCAACCTCAATGACTGCATAGGTGCGAAAGCTTCGGAATTTCTGCACTGCAACTCCAGAGTTTTGATTTTCTTTTGATTTCCCTTTACTACAACACCCCTTTCGGGTCCCTTCAAAAGAAGCACACGCGGCCGTATCTTATTTTAGGAATCGGACCCCCCTCCCAAGATGGACATTTTCGGTTGTTCTCTGCGTCCTTTACAACCACACGCATGGGGGTTCTCCTTAAAAGAGACACCCCCTCCATGTCTCATTTCTTGGCGCGTTTTGCCTCAGGAGAATGCGGGATGCGGTGAGCCCTGAGGACTCCGAGAGAGGTTGGTGGGTCTAGCGAGCTCCTTCTCGGTGAGCTTGCTTGTTCAGATGGGGGTTGACCAATGGTTGAGCTGTTGTCTTTCTTTTGTTTATGAGTAAATGTGACATATCAGCCATGTACCAGGGTCGCGACTTTTCCAACTGGCCATGTTTGGGTCACCCTCGATGGCCAGGAGCCGCTCTCTCTGCGGCGGCTCCGCGAATCGCTGTCGCAGCTTTGGCCGCATTCGCATCGGTAATAAGCAACGTTTTCAGCTCGGTGCTGGGAAACCAAGAGGAACACCTTTTCTTTTGGGGGGGCTCGGCCGTGCCCTCATTTTTGACAGAATCACCATGTCTACTCCTCGACACACAAGGAATTTGGTTCTTTCTCTTTTAAACCACTATATAAGGGGTTCCCCTGTACAAAGACACACCCATATTGCTGGATCCGCTGGGGTGTGGGTATCGAAGTGTGGGAAGTTGGTCTAATCGCAGCTGCCACCAGCCCAGAGAGCATAAAAGCCAACACACCCATACAAGGATCGAGGCTACCGCGGCTTCACCTTGGTTTAAACGGGAATGCCGTTCGTCAGCAGAGGAGCTTGGAGAGGCTTGAGCGGCAACGCCATGCGCGGGGCTTCCCAGTGGTGCGTAACTCGGCTTCTTTTTGAGTTGGTACCCCTTTTTTGGGGGGTTTTAAAGGGAAACCGCGAGGAAAGCCACAGTTGTTTTTCTCTTTTAAGGGGAACCCTGTGTTTTTTCTTGGGTTTTAAAGGCATCCAAGAGGAAACCACCGTTTTTTTTTGGCGGGAGGCTTTGGATCTTCACGGAACTGTTTGGTGTCCTTTTCGGTTTTCAGTTTGGATGATGAGGAACATGACCCCTGGAGTTGATTCCATTGATGGTTCTTTTGTGGGCTTTCTGAATGGAATTGGAGACCCCCCACCCTCCTCGCTCAAGGTGGGGGGTCAGTTTGGTGCAAAATAGATGAGTTCTGCGAGACTCAAACTGGGCTTCGAGTCATGCAAATGGCATGGGAGTTTTCCAAAAGGAGACCTACAGAACCTCTCTAAAGTGCATCTTTCTTTCTTTTTGCAAAGGTCCTGTGGTCACAAGACAAAAACATGAATCCCAGAATAAGGGATGCCGAAAGGGCGAATGGAACGTCAGATTTCTCTGTGTGCGTTGCTTTTGCGGATGTTTTTCTGAAGGGGAAAGCCAAGGGAAGAACTAGGACATATGAGCAAACCTAGGCTGCGTGATCGGCTTGAGCCGTCAGGCTGGCTGGGGGTTGGGGGAGCCTTAGTAGGAAGGTAGCCTCAATCAACATGGCACCTGACAGGGGTCCCTTTAAAAGGAAAATGGTCTTTCAGGACCCCCCCCTGTCAGGTTCTATGTTAATTGGTGGGGTATCGGATCGTGTTGGAAGGGGGTATGCTTGCATAACAAGCACAAAGGATGGCCAACGCCTCTCCGCAGCTTCAGACTGTGACTACATCGGGGTGGTTTTCGTGAACTAGGTCAAACTCCTGCTGATTTTTGGGAGTTGTTGGGGGACAGTGATCAACACCTCAGATGGTTGGGAGGACTCCTGAATGTGCGGAGGATTCACAAAACCATTGTCAAGATCTACCAAGGGAGCCAGAACCCTGCACCATACCATACGCCTTGAGCATGCACACGGGTCTGTTTCAAGATAAGGAGCCCCGTGTCGCGTTTTTTTCAAGCGACACCAAACGAAGCCATTTCGGATTCGCTTTTGAGAACCCCCGTGGGCCAGGTTTGGGCGGCTCCATGGAGAACTTCCCGAGTGAAGGCGCGCCGCCGGCAGCGAGTGACCCGCCCCATCCAAAACCATGGAACCTTACAGGGGGTTCTGGAAGACCATGTTCCTTTCACAGGGTGCCTGTGTGTCTGTGTGTCTCTGTGTGTGTGTGTGTGTGTGTCTGTACGTCTGTGTCCCATGTGTGTGTGTGTGTCTCTGTGTGTGTGTGTGTCTGTACGTCTGTGTCCCATGTGTGTGTGTGTGTGTGTCTCTGTGTGTCTCTGTGTGTCTCTGTGTGTCTGTCTGTCTGTCTGTCTGTCTGTCCGTCCGTCCGTCCGTCCGTCCGTCCGTCTGTCTGTCTGTCTGTCTGTCTGGCTGTCTGTCTGTCCATCTGTCTGTCTGTCTGTCTGTCTGTCTTTCTGTCCGTCCGTCCGTCCGTCCGTCCGTCCGTCTGTCTGTCTGTCTGTCTGTCTGTCTGTCTGTCTGTGTGACTGTCTGTCTGTCTGTCTGTCTGTCTGTCTGTCTGTCTGTCTGTCTGTCTGTCTGTCTGTCTGTCTGTCTGTCTGTCTGTCTCTCTGTCTGTCTGTCTGTCTGTCTGTCTGTCTGTCTGTCTGTCTGTCTGTCTGTCTGTCTGTCTGGTCTGTCTGTCTGTCTGTCTGTCTGTCTGTCTGTCTGTCTGTCTGTCTGTCTGTCTGTCTGTCTGTCTGTCTGTCTGTCTGTCTGTCTGTCTGTCTGTCTGTCTGTCTGTTGTCTGTCTGTCTGTCTGTCTGTCTGTCTGTCTGTCTGTCTGTCTGTCTGTCTGTCTGTCTGTCTGTCTGTCTGTCTGTATGTCGGTCTGTCTGTCTGTCTGTCTGTCTGTCTGTCTGTCTGTCTGTCTGTCTGTCTGTCTGTCTGTCTGTCTGTCTGTCTGTCTGTCTGTCTGTCTGTCTGTCTGTGTGCCTGGCCCCCTTTGTGGGTTCCTTGCAGGTGCGCATGTCAAAAGTGTATGATGTTTTGTTTAGGCCCAAGAACCCCCTCCCAAAATTGAGATTTCGCTTCCGGTTTCTCTTGAACAGCACCGCAAAAAAGGGGCACCGAGCCGCAGAAAGCGGCGAGCCACAGAGCCGTGGGTTTGGATCTTCGCCAGGTGAAAGAGGCCGCCACTCGCACGAGAGGCCGCCTTCCCTTGGCCGGGGTTCTGTTGGCCTTAGTGACAGTGGGTCATTTGGAGGTCATGGTAATAAATAAAAAACAATGTATATGTATATATATATATTATACATATAAAAGTGTATATACAATATATATATATATATATAAACATATATTGATATATTGATATTATGTTACTATATTATATTATATTTGTATATATGATCTAGGGCTGCAGGCGTGGAACTGGGTGGCGGTGGTGGCGGCGGTGGTGCTGGTTTAGGGTTGGTTTCTGGCTGGCGTAGGTTGGTTTAGGCGGTTGGTTCAGGGCTGGTTTAGGTGGAATTTGAAGTTTGGTTTATGCAAGTTTCAGCAGTGGTGTAGAGTTGGTTTGGGTGGGTTTAGGGCTCATTTAAGGTTGGTTTATCTGGAATCAGGCGCCAGACTTTTCCAGAAACTCTTGAATCCACCGCCCAGATGAATTTTCGGTCTTGGATCTACCTCGGTAGGGTTTTTGTCAGAAGAGGCAACAAGTATCCGTATTCGAGTGCATGCCCCAAAACTTCTAAGCCAGTAAAACAGCAACATTCTGGAGCCACTAGCCCAAAAGCAAGAAGCAAAAGAGTACACCACGTAAGCAATTTGAACAATAAATGTAAAAAGTCAAACTCTGGAGCCAAAGGCCCAATACTTTTAAAAAAAGGAAGCGCAAACACCACGCAAAAACACACATAATAAGAAAACAAAAACATGTTTCAGTCCATAGTTTGACTTCAGGGCCGGGGTCGAAGTATGTTGCTTATCATTTTTCTCATTTTTTTAAGCTTTTTTGGTTCAACTTCTTTTGAGCCTTTTTTTGCTCCGTGGCATGGGCTCCAGATTTGTTGAAGCATGCTTTTTCACGCCGGCTTTTTCGCTTTGTCACCTTTTGTTTGTTTGTCAAACTTTTGGGTCTTTGGCTCCATGTTTTTTTGTTAAAATACTTTTTACTTGTGGGTCATTGGCTGCAAAAGGTTTATTTTTTTTGTTTGGGCCAGTGGCTCCATTTGTTTTCCTCTTTTCTTTTTTTTCTCTCTCTCTCTCTCTTTTTCTTTTTCTTTTTTAAACGTTTGTACGTTTTTACTTTGGCTTCAATCTAGGTGCGTGTTTGCATCCTTTGACCAACCTCGTTCAAATAACCTCACTGACTGGTTGCTTGGTTTTGCTTAA